GTGGATCAAGCCGGGTTTGTTAAAAATATTTCCCCTGTGAGCACCTACGTAACTTAACCAATGTACACAACTAATGGATAAATTCCAAGAATTCAATCTTACATTATACGAGCATATAGCATATGTTGACTTCGCAACAGATTTGTTTTCTAAAAGCAATAAAGGCGATTAATGTCGAACACAAATATTCAAGAAAAAAGAAAAGATTTAGACCTCGAAATTATCAGAATTAAGTGGCTATTTGGAAAATACTCATCCTTAAGCATCGCAAACAAAATTCTTCTGTATAAAGCTTTACTAAAACCAGTCTGGACATATGGAATACAACTTTGGGGAGCTGCTCAAAATTCAAATATTGAAATATTACGTTTCCAATCTAAAAGCTTAAGAAAATTTGTAAATGCTCCTTGGTACGTATCAAACGCCACAATACACCGAGACTTACAAATGACAACAATAAAAGAAGTAATTAACAAGGCCAGTGCAAAATACTTACGACTACATAACCATTAAACTATTCTTGCCATTAACTTACTAAACAATAGTGACACCACCAGATGATTTAAACGATATCATACTTTAGACCTTAAATATTGACTACAAATTGTTGTTGATCTGAAAAAATGTAATATTAGGAGTAGGAGTATGGACCGTACTCCTCTCATGTAATTCAAATTGTAATTTTGCCAAATGTTTCTACCGAAACAAATTGCAAAATAAAATATTATTATTAAAAAAATTAAGAATATTAGGAACAATATGCATATTGAACATTGCAAAAATTTAAACAAAGAAGGAACATATATCAACATCCAGAGAAGACCCCAATATCTCCCAAATTGTTCATTTGTTTACTAGAAACAGTTTTTACAAAAATGAAAAGTCATTATAGGGTAAAAATCGATGGAAACTAACTATCCAACCTAAGATTCACTGATGACATAGTTATCTTCGGAAAATATGTTCAAGAGAAACAAACAAGTTCCTAGAATGACATCAATGTAGCAAGAAAGTATGTGTGAATATCGATTTCCAGAAAAGAAAAATAATGACAAAAATGAAAGAAGAAAAATTATAATACAAAAGAAAGAAATTGAACACGTGCTAGATTGTATTTGTTGAGGGCAAGTAATGTCATTTCAAAATAAAATAGAAAAGGATATAAATAGAAGAATATCATTAGCTTGAGAAAAATTCTGCAATCTGAAAATTCATCCTCATGAATAATTTTTTTAGGCTAAAGATGAAAACAGAAATGTGTTTTGTCCGTGGTGATTTACAACGCACAAATCTGGGGCATAATACCAGGATTGTATTCCCGAGAAAAATGGAAGGAAAAGTGCTGCACAAAACCCTTGCACACAAGATAAAAATGTAGAAATATGTAACACAGCACAAATCGAAAACGCCATAGAAAAAGCTAACAAGTGGAAATGGAAATGGGGAGGACATGTCACGCGCAGTTAACAAGAACGCTGAACTCATCGTTTAACATCGTGCGACCCGCGGGAGGCAGCAGGAATGCAAGAAAATAGAAGGAAAGGTGGCAGACGACATCAAAGGGATAGTAGGGGGCCAATGGAGGAGGGTGGTAAAAGACCGGGAAGAATTAACATCTTGGTGCGAATTATTCACAAACCAAACACCACAAACAAGTCAGTTGATGGTTGTCCAGTCCACCTGGTGAAAATACCAACTCAAGTTCCAATTAATGATTTTAAATAACAAATGGTGTTAAGAAACAAGTGTCTTGTGTGGTAGTAATTAAGACATACTCTTCTCGGAGTGCCTGCGCGAGAAGCTTTTTTCAATGTAAGCTACCATGCCTGGCAGGAGGCCCTTCCCTACATGGGATGTTAATGGCTATTAATAATAATCACACGAATATGTTGCCCAGATGCAATTTTAATCTTTGTGATGTTTTAAGTTTCTAAATATTTAAAAAGTGCTGAATTATTTCGAATCTGCCGGTGAATGCTTATTCCGTTAATCGATAATTTACGTTTGGAACTTCAAATGTTTCTGATTTCATAGCCGGGAAGACCTTTTATGCTACGAACGTGTACTGAAAAATTAAGTTCCCTTTAAATTATTTAAATCGTTAACGCGTTAAAAACCATATCATTTCAGAGAACTTTTGAATGATTTACTAGGCGAACCTAGAAAACAACTCTGCAAATTATATAGTAATTCGGCGCTGATTACAAATAATTAATATTGTGTATTCTATATGTTTGTGTTCTTCCCTCATTACCCATAAATGTTAGTGATATATAGACACGGAGTGGAGCGGAATTGGATTTTTAATTGTATGGACTTGGAATGGAATATTAATTGATGTGATCCAGAGGTTTCCTCTTCCATTATGTAAATGAGCGTGACTCAAAGTATTTTTCGCGTTGTGGAGCTAACCCTGCGCCATTAAGACGGGCGCAACCTACACGCCAGTGGGGGCGTGGACGCGCCGACTGCGTGGTCGCGTACGTACAGGTGTTCCGGATCAATGATGTATAACTAAGCCAGATGGCAAGTTCCCGTCGAAACAGATGTATTGATCGTCAAGCCCCTGTCGTGATAATGCACAATTCAGGCAAGATAATTTATTAAAATCGCACAGAATGAGGTCTGGTCACACTTCAGTACCCTTGTCTACGCAAATTACGACACAATTGCTGCACCATTTTACAAATGATTTGGCGGAACATAGAATCACTGCATCTACTTTCGTGAAATATTAATTTTTTCGGGGTTTATTTAAAGTCGCTTCAACATTTAGGTTTTTAGCGACTTCTATTGGATTTAACGTTATGATAACTTTGAAGATGACATGACGTGGTAATGATAGGGGGTGGAAGAACGAACACAAATACAAACTGCCCGAGGCGGAACACGAACCCGCGATCTTTCGGTCCGAAGTCGCTACAGCGCAACAGCCAAACGAACTCGGATATCCGGATCGGCTGATTATAATACGATATTCATATTCGTCAAAATAATTGGAGTTTTTTTTTGTTTTCCAATTTTTAAAATTAACCCTGCATTAACTTTGCATTTAATTACAATTTTAACATTTTCATAAATATCATCTCTATTATTTTCTTATAATTATATGCATATTAAAGGCCGCGCGAAAAAACAATTACCTACATGTCACTTTCTTAAAATAATACATTTCCAAAAATATATCATAGGTTTCGATCATATGATATATGTCACTCAATCATGACCGACTAACTCGTGCACGATTAAAGAATAGCTTATGTAGGGAAATTTCTAGAAAGGTCCAGATTGCGGGTACGAAACATACTTCATCTCACTATTTGTGCATTAGAGTCAAAGAAACATGTAAAATGGCGTGAAGTTTAATACAAAATAGCTTTTTTGTATGATGAACGTAGAGGATTGCCATGGGTCACTAAATTATACACAAGTTGCTCGAGTGCTTTTTTGACACTGCACATCCTGATGGAGGGAACTCATGTGTTTGGCAGGAACAGGAACTTCCACTGGGGATGTTGGCCCCTGAGAGTTTGTTTACCTACACTAGACGCAGAATGATCTGTCTACTGACGGGGGGCGTTCAGTCGAAAACGTTTGTGTGTCTTCGATGTGACAGATATCCCACTTCCAGGTGCCAAAACGTGATCATTTGTGATCAGCCTTCACGCTCTAGCACGTAGTTGCATTGAATTGGAACCACTCTGTATGCACATGAAAAAAACTGTGTAAAGCGCAAACACCAGCTCCTGCTTTTCCACCGGCAGCTCCTTCTTATGTCGCAGGAGCCCACAGCCGACCCACTGACCTTTTCAAAAAATGTTGGCAGCAGTCTGTCATTTAGTTCCTTCGAGAACGTGCAAGAGTGAGCGCGCCACTGTGAGAGACACGACTAGTTTACGACGAATGGACCAACCTGGCGTCAGGTTTGTTCGGTTGGGGTCCCTCCACACGGAACCATTCATAGTGGTTTTGAGAGGCGCATCTGCATCTGCAATAACCGTTCATATAAAATGTAATGCTGTAACAGAAATGATTCCATTTCATTGTATACCTCTTGAATAAATAAATGTGCTAACAAAGCATTGTTTTAAATGGAGGTGTTCATACGACAGTCGTAGTGGTGCCGTTGTTGTGTCGGTTAGTAGCGCAATCTGTTGTAAGTGGCAGCCTTGACACAAAGCCACTCGAACCACAGTTAATGTTGAATGTCACGCGGGCGCTGGCGCCCACAGTAGTGATTGACGCCACGCTCAGTGGCGCTTGTCGGCGGCTGCGTGGTGGAAATACATGAGTGAGTTACTCCGACCCACCGACTTTTGCTCGCTCTGCGCAGAACCAGTGTGCGTCACGAACCACGTGACCACAGCACGGGCACTTCGTTTGAAAAGGCAGGACAGACGCTAGTCGGCATGTTGAATGGAGAGCGAGAAGTGTACAGAAACATTTTGAAAGTGGCACAAAGTGGCACAATTTTCAACGGTAACCAACAAAAATTCCACGAAGTTGTACTATATATGCAATATTTAAAAGAAATGTTTCATAAATCTGTTTCATTGTCTTGTAACGGGCTTATAATTTTGGAATCTGGCTGTATATCAAATTAATACTAATATTGTGACGCAAACTGGTGCCTGAGGCTGATTGGCTGAAGTAGGATTCGATGTCCCCCCCCCCCGGATGGCCGTGTGTTATGGATCCTGGCGCTCCCGAGTAGCTCCTTGTGAACGGCGGCCGTATACTTCGATTTAAACGCGGGGTTTGTTGACGTAAATCAGCTGTTACGGTGTCATCCAACCGGAAGCTTGGATGACACTTCCAGTAGTGACGTTTAACCTCCCGATTAGATGACACCCTAACATCTGATCGAACATGAACGAACTCTATAAATAAAGTTGTGTAGTTGCACTACGAACGTCAACAGTCTCTGTAAATAAATCGAAGTGTAGTTGGAGCGTGGAGGAGGGGGGGGGCGAGTAGTAACGCGAACGGCGCATGCGCAGTGGAGGGCGGCGGCGAGTGCCAGCCCAACGAGGGCGTCATCAACCCGCTGGGGCTCCTCCCGGAGGCTGAGGTGAACGCCAGCGCCGCGGCCGCCGCCGCCGGCGGCCAGACGCCGCGCCACGCCCCCAGGACCAAGCGCGACGTCGAGATGGTGCTCTCGCCCGAGACGCACTACGACGAGGTCACCGGCCGCCAGCACAACATCGTCAGGATGGTGAGTAGTGCGCTTGGCAAGCATGCGACCCATCTGGCTGCTCGCGCGTTTTCATGAGCTCGTCAAATCTATTATGCCTTATATTACGTGGCGAGGCTCAGGCCATCAGGGCTGCTCTACGGGCGGGAGATGAAACATCAATAGAGAGAAAATCCATCTATTGTATGTTTGCATGCTCTTCGTAATTTGAATATGACTATCGTGTTCGCGGTTTGTCCAGCCCAGAATTACAGATTAGAATTAACAAAATGTAGGGGCCATTTACCTTTATTTAATATCTATTCCCTAATGATAATGGCTAGAGCCAATGACGTCCACTCCGTATGAAAGACAAGAGAAGAATCCAAAAATTATATTAAAAAAACTTTTTATGGAGGATTCCGGGACTCCAATTCTCTTAAATTGCCTGACTACGAAAAAAATTATTATGCAACTTTCACCATCGAGCAGTAGAAACAAGGTATCACTCGGGTGACAAAAGAGGAGATTTGAATTTAGCTCAGAGGCTTCATTTGGGCTTGAAGATATTTTACATGCAGTAACTCTACAACATGGGACAGTCGGCTTTATTTCCATTCTGAAGAAAGGCGTACGAAGCATTTTCCCCTTTAAAAGTTAGCGGCTTTAATAATGTTTGAACCCGCAAATTGGAGAAAAACAGACCGATATTCTAACCGTTATACCACAGAAGCCACAAACCCTTTCTGTTTTTTACACCCGATTTACTTCCCTTTTCACGAACGCTTCCGACGTTTTAGCGAACACTGGCTTCTGGGATCCCAGAACTGCGTGCGCATGCACGTGTTCGCTAGAACTCGCGAACCATTTGGTCAAAAGAAAGCCTTACGTAGATCAGTGATGTTGAGGTTGTTGCCTCCAATGAGATTCTTCGGTTGACGCGGTTGAGGGACAACATGCGTTTCGTGTGTAGCGATCCTGACTGGCCGATCTTAAGGTTCGAGTCTCGATGATGCCACTTTATCGACCCTAGGTGTCTCAAATACTCTTTTGACAAGGATTTTCGAGTTTTAAGTGCGACATTATCGGAAAAATAATAGGAAACTTCCGAATTGAAGAAACCACATGACGTCAATGTTATTCTTAGACAGGTCACGATAGGACACACCCATTGGGTCGGCTCCGAGAAAATTTGAGCTGTTCTAGACAGGTTACAACAAACTCCATTGGGTCAGCAGAGGAAAAAATCCGGTAATTTCTAGGAAGGTCACGTTTGAGACCAACACAAATACCTTCGTCCACATTTGGGATCGTAGTATTCGCCCAGGGAAAAATCTGTTCATCTCTACACACGTTATGATAGGAAAACCTCAAAAGGTTGAAGGAAATTCTTAACAGTTCTAGACATTTCATAATAGGGAAACTGTATAGAATTGATTTAGGGTTGATAGAAGGAAAATCCTATCATATCTAGAAAGGTCTAGACAGCGGAATTGATTAGGAGAAGACCACCGAAAGAAACAAACAAATTAGGTTATAAAAAAGAAAAGTCTTTTAAGATTCAGAAATATTACGTTATTGTATACTTTCATCCTTGGTTTGCCTCGAATAAGAAGGCTTCATTTCATATTTAAAATTAAAGTTGAATTTGGTTCACAAATACAAAATTTTATTTTACTTGGAGAGGCTGCGGTAGGGAGTAAGTAAGTTCCCTACTGAGATCTTAAACGTTTTTGAAATTTTACATTTGTTGCGTATATTTTTTAAGTAAATCATATTGGAAAATTGTTTTTTTTAATGTAACGGCATATAAAATGTTTGAAGTTTAAATTTAATTGCGTGATATGGTTATCAAAGACTTTATAACCTGAAGAGGGTTTTGTTTCGGTGTGGAAATGAAGTCAATCGACGCTAACGAACTCATTTAACTGGAACCTATTGAAAATTCAAAATACTTAACTTTCTTTAAAGTGACTGAAGCAGCGTTAATTACACCCCCGAAAGTAATTATTTTACCCCGTAAATGTGGCGTTGTCCCTAAGTGTAGGCTCCCGCTTGATGCTCAAGAGACTACACCTTTCTCCACTTGTTAATGGCTTTCAGCAGCCAGGGCCATTATTCTTGCGACCCTTGTAACCTGTCGACTGGCAGCTATGAGTAATGTTGGCGACAACGTGTCTCTGGAATGGAAAGGCTTGAAGAGCCGAAGTGATGAAGGTGACTTTAAGAGCTGATAGTGGTGATGGTCGTTGTTTAGGGGTTGTAAAGGACAAAAGATAAAGTATTGTGGTGTACCATTCGTTCTTGGTAAATGTACTCGAAAATTAGATCGTGGTGAGCTGTAAATGCTGTATAGTGCAGCTGATAAGTGCATTTTAAATATATAACGTAATAAAAATCGACAGGAAAAAAATCATTGCACAATGAAATTTCTTTGGGTTAAAATGCCTCTGGATCTCATAAGTAATGGAGGTGATTATTTGCTTCAACAGCTGACTTTTTCTAAACAATATTGATTGTAGAGTAGTACGAGTCATTTACCATTATAATTGAATACCTTGCATTACAGTGGGGCTAACCGCCAAAAAAGGAAAGAAAAGGGATATTATTTAAGAATAGTGTTTCACTACATCAGTTATATTCCTGCAAAATCGCCAAGTGATATTCCGAATGTTGTAGTTGTAAGGTTGACTGAGAGACAGCACTAATTATAAGTAAGGAAGCTGTTTCATTAGAAAGGTGACAAGCGGCAATTCAGGTAGCGCGTAATTTTCCTTCCTCTGGCTCGCTGTAGCAGCTGATCTATCGTGTTTAGTGCCGTTAGTGAATGTTGTAATTGAAGTTCCTTTCAACGTCCTGGAAATAAAAAAAATGCGACTTTCTTACCATTTTGGTAGTAGCTGGTAAATGTATTACTACTAAATTGAATATAACTTCTGCATTATGGATACGTGTAAAATCAAAATTCCCTGGCATTGTTTTCATTTGAAATTCATTTAATTAGGCCAGTCTTTGAAAACATCTCGGTTTACAAAAAGGGGTTTACCGCTGACAACCTGAGAAAGACTGAGCTTAATCTGGGTGGTTTGTCTAACAGAGTAAAGATTGACAAGAAACGTGATATGATATCCATTTACCTAAAGACGAGAATACAACATTTGACTGGAATTTGTTTTCTGATCTACTGGAAAAGGTAAATCATTTAAATATTGAACACATAATATGAATACACTTTTCTACTATGAGTGTTATATTCCTAATTAATAATAATAACAATAATGATAATAGTAATAATAATATTGCATGACATCTAAGTATCGTATTACTTACATATTTTTTGCCGATTGTTGTATCATGTCAAATTTATGGAAATATTTAATGTTGCAGTGGTCACTTTTGAAAAGGAAAATACATTACACACGGCTCTTATTTTTTTCTTGTCGTCCTAGTATATAGGTTATATTTACAGTCTCTTAATTTCATTTTGACATTTCTAAAATGTATACGATGTATGTCCAAGAATTTAAACTTTCAAATAAAGAATTACTTTGATTCAGATGTTTCTTTTTAATATCCAAGAAACTTAATTTTGGTCCCTTTGTTAGGTTAGGTATCCAATTGTGCTTTAGTGATCATGTCATATAGTTATCTCATTTGAGAAGTTTATGTATAAGTTATCTTTTTTCATTTAACATAATTATTTGTATATTGGATGTTATAAAAGTTTTGCCGGATTTTGTTTTTTGCATATTAATCAAAAACTAATATATAAAGTAGTTGTGAGTAATACATAAATCAACCATGTTTTTACACAATGGAGATATCATCAAATATTATACCAATATTCACTGCTTATTTTGTTGGACGTCAATATGCAAAGCACAGTTCAATTTCATTCAATCTGAAGTTTACTGTGGGATTGTTTTGTTTACATAATGATGCGTTATATGCATAAGCGCGAAGTTCATTTATTAATGCATGTGTTCTATATTGATTTCAGTTGATAGGTTTGTTACCGTGGTTGATACGTTTTATCCTTTTAGTGGTAAACCATACGATAGCATTGGGATAACTCCATGCTGACCTTGCTCATATGTACACCCAATACTTAATGAATTCAACTTATGTAGCATTTCCATTACGTCCTGTAACTACTGAGACGCATATTATATTAGATAATTCATGTGTGTATAAAAATGCGGATATAGGACTCGGATTTTTAAATTGCTCTGAGGGATACGTGAAAGGAAATAAAACTTAGGTCTCTTATGCCACAAACGATTTCTGTATTTTACGTGTCACATTTTTGCACCCCCCCTTACCTTTCATTTCGTTTGCTGAAACGTGTAAAAATGCTTAATCTGTTCCCTTTCGCGATGCGATGATTTTATTTTGGTGTTCAGTTTATACAAGCGTGTTAGCGTTTACTGCTCATAAACTAGCACGTTTTTATTATTCTGGAATATTCTTTTGTGCGAATAGTTTGTTTGCAGATTTCATCCTTGTTCGAGTTCTCCTGCTTTAAGTGAAGAGTAATTATGTCGTAATAAGTTGTTCTCGATGTATTAAACGGCCCTTAAGTTAATGAGAAACACCTTGAAACGAGACGTACTGTGGTATTTGACATTCGCGTTCGTCCTTATGAAGACAATGATAAATGCGTAATATCGGCATAATGCACTTGCAGATAATTTTTGAATCGGGGTTCTAGAGATCCGGGCCTCTCTTGCTGATGGTGTATAGATTTTGCACAGACCTACAACGTTATAGAACTTCTTTGGAATGTGTCTGGGGAAACAGAACTGAATAGAAGAAACTTTTGGGTATTCACTTTCGCTGAAATGCCCGTGGCACACAGAGATGCATTGTTTTAGAATATCGCATGTGTTTAATATAGTTCTAAGACAATAACGTGCGGGAATCTAGGGAGTGGTTCGGTGGACCTGAAGTTCAGAAGTTCCATGGTTCGCGGGTCCTGCTGTTGACGAGCCTTGGTGTTCCGCGGCGTTGGATTTCAGTGGCATTGAGGTCCTGGGGCAAAGGGGCCTAGGGATAATGTGGTTCGGGAAGCGGATCAGAGCAATGGAGCCCGGGTAGTGGGGTCCCCGCAAATGGGTTCAGCCAGTGAGGTCAGTGCAATGGAATGCGGGGCAACCCGGTCCAGGGGCAATGTGGTTCATGATAATTGATTAAGGGGCAATGTGCTTTCAAAGAGAATGTGTTCAGGACACTAGGGACTCCGGACAATGGTGCGCAGGGGGCAATGTGGATCAAGGGAAATAGGGTCTGGGCAATGGGGTCCCGGGGCAATGGGGCAGGGGCAATGTGGTTGAGGGGCAATGGTTGAGGGCAATGTGGTTGAGGCCAATTGGTTTCAGGGCAATGTGGTTCAGGGGCAATGGGTCCGGGCAATGGGGCCAGGGGCAATTGTGTCAGGGCAATGGGGCAGGGGGCAATGTGGATCAAGGGCAGTAGGGTCCGGGGCATGGGGTCCCGGGCAATGGGGCCAGGGGCAATGTGGTTGAGGCAATGTGGTTGAGGGGCAATGTGGTTGAGGGGCAATGTGGTTGAGGGCAATGTGGTTAGGGGCAATGTGGTAGGCAATGTGGTTCAGGGGCAATGGGGTCCGGGCAATGGGGCCAGGGGCATGTGGTTCAGGGCAATGGTGGCCAGGGGCAATGTGGATCAGGGCAGTAGGCGGGGGCAATGGGCCGGGGAATGGGGGCAGGGGGACATGTGTTCATGGGGCAATGTGGCGTGTCAGGTGCAATGGGTCGGGGGGCGTTGTGCTCAGGGCCTGGTGTCGTGCGCTGACGCGGTGTGTGCGCAGAGCTGCTCGAGCGGTACGCCAAGTGCATCGTGTTCCGCTGCCGCCTGTACGAGCTGGGCGGCGCGCAAGGAGGCGAGGTTGACGGTGACGTCGCGCCTGTGGACATTCACGCTGGTAGAAGACTACCGCGCTGACGGCCGTCCACATCACGTCGCACGCGCGCCTGCATCTGCCCCAGGGGTCGCTGCTGCAGCAGAACGGCTCCGACGACGTCGCAGAGGTGAGTTCACTCCGCACCTGACCAGAAGTGCAGCACGACGGATTTGCTCGCGGAATTTACTCAGCTCCAAGCATTAGAAACTTGTGTATTCTTTTATTTTTCGCGGAAGTTTTGTTGCGCAATAACAGGTGCTAGAAAAAACAATTTCTAAACAACTACAATTCTTAATAAAGCAATTCCTTCAATCACAATTCCTACAATGCAGATACACTTCACATTTAGTTTCTGAGGAAAGGTGGAGAAAGTCAGTACACGAAACTGTCACAATTTTCCAGTGTTGAAAAATAAACTTTTTAAAATTTGTAGGTCAGGTTTTATTTTTTTTAAATTTACTTACAAATTTGGGTGTAATATTAGAATTATTGGGGTGAGGTAGGATATTTGGTAATCTTTACTCCATATAAAATACTGATAAAAGCAGTTACATTAAAATTCGTTTATTACTGTCCAATGAAGAAGTTCAATGATTGAAACCGCTTCTTTGAGTTTTAATTAAAGTTTCAAACTCACATACACGTTACTATTTACATACATAATTTTATTTTTATCTAATTGTATTGATTCAGATTTACTTATTTTCTAATTAGCTTGATATTAATATAACTCGGTTTGTCTTTTCTAATTTTCCCTCATAATTCCCGCCATAAGAGAACATAGCCGGTCAAATGTTTTCTTCTTTCCCTCGTAACTACGATCCTGTCGATCCATGTAAGTTATGCAGTGTATATCGACCTCCGTATCGAAAGCAATAACATGCCATAACATATCAGAAAAAAATATTTTCGCAGTCTGCTTACGGCATCCTCCATTTTGATGTGCGCTAATCGCTTTCTACTGTTCATCTCTTTCATAGAAATAGCTGGTCCCCTTTCCCCACTTCCTCATTTTTCCTTGCTTCCTCCACATAAATCTATAGTACCGTTTGCACACTTTACATCGTCTTTATCATTAGTTTTCTTGTAAGTTTCGAGACACAGCCTACTCCGGTTATAGTTAGCTTTAGGGAATTAACGTTTTAGTTCACATAACGTTTTAGTTCAGAAATTAACATATTATAGTAGTCTTGTTACTCTTGAATGACTCTTGCTCTGTTGGAGTATTTTCGCCATTTATATCCTCTTTGACATCATATTCCTTTTCCTTGATGTTCAACAATGTCCTAGCCAGATGGAACTTCACTAGGTTTCATCTCGCAGTCAGCATCATTTAAGTCTTCACGCTCGACAGAACGACACAATTTCCTCAGTGATGCGTTTCCTCTGTCCATTTTATTCGTCGTAAATGCTACAAAAATAGTTCGGGAGACCATCCGCCTGCAAACTCTGTGTGATATTGAAATATGCAGTCCTGGGGCGAAGCATTTTTCTCTGGGAGTTGTCTTCCTTGTGTTCACTGTTGCCCATGTGAAGATTTCACTATAACTGAATCACCTAGTGTTTGTAATGTATGTTGATCGGGATCAGAGACTTCGGTTGACTATAACCGCACGTTCACTACATTCGAATTCGTCTGTATTATCCTTCATCCATTTTTTGTTTTCAATTCTAGTAGCTTTTATTGTTATAAATTATATGACATTTTTATGTTAACCATATATCTCCTGTCACCACTTTCTATTCCATCTTAAAGAAATTGTAAATTGCTGTTCTGACTTTTTATTTCCTTTTCACATGCTTGTAATCGTGGTTCATTGTCAATTTTGTGACATTTGCAGATGGGTTAGTTCTTTTTACACACGTTTGCTGTGGCCACGGCGATTGGCAAATGATTTATTTCTAACAATTCCACCGAAACCTTTTTTAAATTCAAATCAATAAATCGTCATGCAAGTAGTTATAGTCTGCCATTTAAAATTAAACCTATTCGCAATGGATGGCAACATTTTCATAAATGACGTTTGCGTGTTGACTGTACCTTTACCACTAGCTGTCGAATTCATCAACGTTACACGCATCAATTTAATGGTGTTATTATTGACGTATCGACATTTTCTGTTGGGAATTAATGGCTCGCGATTTAAGTTTGTATTCCATTGAAACGATAACTAGAAAGAACTCCAAAGCCAGGTCTAAATTTTGCAGGGTCTCGTTCCCCTAATATCTTCAGGAAACGATATACTTACTGTAAAATATTGTAAAGTCGCAAAGTATTGAATTGAATTGATGCCTTATATTACGTGGCGAGACTCGGGTCATCAGGTCCGCTCTTCCGTCTGACCACGCAAATTTCGCTACGCTCCTTTCACCCACTAGCGAAGAAAAGAGGTTTTTTTTGGGCGACGAAACAGGCTATTTGAATTAGCTCAGAGGCGTCATTTAGGTTTGAGGATCTTTTACATGTAAATAAATCTACTAACATGGGACAGCCGGCCCTCTCCGAAGGAAGGCGTACGAAGGATTTTTTCGCCCTTAAACATTCACGGCTTCGATCGGGTTTGAGGTGATCCCTGAAGTTGGGCTTAACAGTCCGACACGCTAACCGTTACACCATCGCCGCCCACGCAACCCACGCGGATAGTGCCGCCCACGCAGTTTGCAGGGAGGTAGGAAGTCCTGTGATCAGTCTTTGTGGCACCATTTGACACCAATCCGTGTCCCAGAAGAGTACGTTGGTCTGGACTCTAAACACAATGACCAGTTTTGCGAGCAACCGCATAAACATGTTCTTCTAAATTGACATTCCTCGATCGATCTGTACGAACTCGAGGCCCGCTGAGTTCGAAACGGATATTTTGATTCTAGGAGGTACTTTTCATGAAGCATTAAAACATTTTCAAAGTTTTCTAAGAAATGGGTAAACTTTGTGCTTGGATAGCGTAAAGGTCGCTTAAAAGAACGGTGCATGTCTCATTTTCGTTGAAATCCCTAATTAGCGAAAGTTGCTAGGTCTTTCTCCAACTATTGTACAATATTGAAGATAAAGGTTTCTTTTTTCGGAATGAAATCTGCTCTTTAAAGACAGATCTTGATATGAAGTCATCTACAATTTTTTCAAAATATGAGTAGCGTTCGTGCAATTTTGCGTGAAATGTAGGGAAGTTTAAATAATATTTTTCTTAAAAAATGACTCCCAATATTTTCTTTAAATTGTCTCTGAAATGTATAAAAGGAAGCTAAAAACGTGGTGCTAGTCTCATAAACGGCAAATTCTCTCTATTTTCGAAAATAGCAATACTTCAAGATTACAAAATTAAAAATTTTTTGCCTTAAAATTTGTTCTTCGAAATCAGCTTTTTTAAAAAACAATGGAAATGTTTTGAAAAAACTAGCTATTTTCGCATACTTTGTCCTTGAAATTGAACAATTCATACAAAAAACAACATTTTATCAAAAACAGCTCCAAATGTTTTTTCCACTGATAAAGAAAGAAAGGTTTCCATAATGTCGTAGGTCTAATTTTCTCTGAATGTTTGAAAATTGCATGTTGAAAATAATGGGAGAGATGTCGGCGAAAGTGAGTACGTTAGAGCGACTGTTGGTGTAGTGGCAAAATGCACGATGTGTTAAACTCAATGAACCGGATTTCTAGTCTCAGCACGGAAACAAATTGCTGGTTGAAAAGACTTTTGAAGTTTCATGTAGTATCATTAGTTGTACAGAACCTTCGTAGTAGTAGAAATATCGTTTACAAATAATGCGTGAAAGTATGTACTGTTGTAGTACCACTAGGTTTTATTCCCCAATCCTGTCTTATGACTGTCGTTTTGCCGAAGTTTTAATTTGAAGCATTGAAAAGCGAAACGTTTTTTTGACAAGAATGTGGGACGCATTCTGTTTTTTATTTTGTTTTTACATATGCAACAAGGGCATCAAAATAATAATTAACAAGCAATGTACAATCCTCTCGCCGAGAAAATTACAATTAATTTTTTTCTCTATGCACCGCCCTTTTATACCTTTTGAACGCGATACTATTGCCACTTGTATATTTACTAATGAACTCATTTATTTTTGTCTTTTATAAGTTTATTTTTAAGTTTTACATTAATAAGAAGAAACACACCTACAAGAACCTTTTCCTATGCCCAGAAATGTTTTAGTATGTTTATTTTTCAATATTTTAATTTTATTCTGTATTTGAATATAATGCGCTGTCAATCACATTCGTGTGGTCCATAAGAACAGTTTTGAACATAAACTTAACAGAGTCCTTCGTACTTAGAATTTGAAATACCTATGCCCAACATGTTAATGAAGGCCCATTCGGAAAACGCTATGGCAGGACGTCCTCTGGGGAGGACAATTGAAAAGTAATTTGTGACGCGTATTCCCGCATGGGTAATCGATAACTCAGGTTTAGACCGACCCTTTGAGGATTGAAGGTCTCTGTGGCATTGTGCTTTTATACAACTTCACTCCGTGTTTATTTCGGGGCTCTCGTACATTATGCATCTACACGTATCCATCTACCCCAAATCCTAGTCGCTCAAATCAACTTATGCATTAAAAATAATAATATGCAACCCATTTTATTGGGTCTGGGCGAGAAGTCTAGCGGCCGGCTGCTCTGATCGGTAAGCTTTCCGTGGTTTCTCCGATCAACACCATGCGAATACAGGAGCAGTACCCTAATGAACGGGCCACGGCCCACGGAAAAATCTTTCCTACATCTTCCTTGTTCTTTTCTTAACCCGTACACACAATTACACTAACACGCACTACACTACCACACATGCCGGGAAACCGGTCGGGAGCTTAGAGCTTGTCAACGACTGGAGCGGTACCCCTCTGATAAAGATACCTGGTTAGGGAAATCCCCGCTAGTCGACGGTAGGTCGGCGCTGGATCTCGCCATCCAGCGGGGGAAGATCACCGCCACATCACGAAAAAAAAACAAACGTGCATAACATTTACGGGACTAATCACCTTACCAAATGACCTTACCGCTCCCGGAATCAGTAACAATCATTGAATGTAATGAGTGAGTATCCTCGAGCTGCGCGCTGACGCGGCGTGTGCTTGCGGCAGGCGATGACGATGGCGCTGCCGGACCGGCTGGACGTGCACGAGCCCGAGTCGGTGCCCTACTGGATCATCGCGGTGGCGGTGGGCGTGGGGTTGCTGCTCCTCGTGGCCCTCATCCTCATCCTGTGGAAGCTGGGCTTCTTCAAACGCCGCCGCCCCGACCCCACGCTCTCCGGCAACCTGGAGAAGCACCGCGACGAGAACGGCTCGTAGCGCCTCGCCAGGCGTACCAACCTCTCGCCGCCACCCGCGCGCGCGCCCCACCGCGCGCTCGGCGCTTCTGTCGGATCGCCCTTGGTCCGAAAGGGATGGCCCTTTTTTTGGAAATGGACGCCAGTTTCTTCATTTCGAGCTCGATGGTTTCATGTTCATAAGAGCTGACCATAAATGAAGCAGTGATGTCATGTTAGTTGTCATAAAATGAGACTTGGTGGCACGGGGTGGGACATGAACCCTGCGTTCCACGCATTTGTCCACCTTACCACTAGAGAGCAGTAAGGGCTTGAATTTACACGCCTTGTATGATTAAACGGGAGTTAGAATAATCAATTGAAGTAGTTTATGTGATGTTTATTAATATTTTTACTTTTATTGTATTATACTTTCACATTTCCTTTTTGGAGGATTAAAATATTGAATATCATTTGATGTACACGTTGCTACACGTTTCGTCAACGCCATCGTTTTGGCAAAATTGAGAAAGAGTTCTGATGTTTCCTTTCACAGTAGTCCCGCAGTCATTTGCTTCGATGAATTCTTGAACGCCATGGCGAGTGCAAGCTCTGCTATCACCAGTCGACAACCGTGACATCTCTGCTCCTGAAGAAATCGAAAATTCTTTTCCCTCTGGTCCTCAAATTTCCGAATCCTGTAAAGTACGTTGGCGAATACATGGAGGCGATGTGATCGAAATTAAGAAATTGGTGTTTATTTCAAGTTGGGCGTCCCTCTATTTATTGTATTGTCGTCTCATAGGAGTACGAAACGTCAAGGGTCCAGTCCCGCTCGGCAGCTACTTCGCCTGCTCGACCTATGCCCGAATTCTGTGGGACTCTGTATTCACCATCCGAGAGAAGTCAATGAGCGATATTTTTAATTTAAAACAAAAACCTTCATACGAGTAAAGCAATGCAAGTGTCTCGATTTGTATCTAATGGTAGATCATATTTTTTCTTAGTTTGAGCAGGACGTGCTTTTTTTCTTTAAAGGTGCTTGTAATGTGTTCAAATTGATCTGAAAAGTGCCTGAAGATGTTTTGTAAGTTTCGATTAGAGATTTTGCAAATGGTGTTTCGAGCTGTGTCTTGAATTTTTTGAAAATACATTAAGAATATTGTTGTATCATTGAATTAATAAGGAATGGCTGTTTTTTCTGCGCAAGTTTGTGTTAAATGTGCTTATATAATTTTCAACTTACGGCAAAAAATATCCTCCTATTGTCTTGTAGGTGATGGAGAACACTCAGGGCAGAATGTGCACAATATTTGCGAGAAAGATAAAAATGCTCGAATGAATTTTGTATGAGAGCATACGTTATTGATAAATATTCCGTGGCGTAACGAAAACAACGAACTCTTAGCACAACGTAGCATTCTGCCACTCACTGCTCTCAACTACCTTTTATTTCTAGCGTGTTGTTTTAGAGAGCCCCTTCATCGAAAATTCAATACTGCAAGTGGTATCTTAGACTCGATTGCAAAAATTTGTAGAAAATAATGTTCAAATACACCAACATCAGATGCAAGAGTCAATTTTCCTCACTGACAATTGGATATTGATCTCTAACTATCAAATGTGATGTTTTATTTCACTTAAAATTAATTCTTTAACAATCACGTATTCTTCCAAGAATTTTTGCTCTTTATATCCGCCGTTCAATTTTCCATTTTGGCCTTCTACTGTTTCGCGAGTGCTGCGACCTACAAACCCAACTCCTTCAAAGACTCGTACTTTCGGAAGCGAAGCTTCTACCAAACGAATCTTTCGGGGAGAAGGGATTGGCACCCGCTGCTGTGCTGTGTGTGCCTTGGCGACGGCATCTAGAAGAGGAGGGTTAGTGCCTTCGAACCACTTCATCACTTCCGTTTCCGTTTTCACCTCACCTCGTCTCACCATCCTTCACTTCACCCGCTGTCTTCGTAGAGCCGTCGTCTTCAATGGGATTTTTTTACAGTATTTTGTTACTTCATCGAGATGTGCTCCTGTGGTATTCTTGTTGTAAAAAAGATTTTTCTGTCGTAATAAAAGACCTGAAACGACGTTGCCTTTTTTTCTTCCGACAGTTTTGCCTTTCCTCCTCCTGCAAGTGGTCTTTTGTGTCTGGTGCGCGCCTTCCAGCTGCAGAATCTTCCCAACCTCTCGAGGAGACTCCAGAAAGTGATACTCGAAATTGCACGCTTTCTTCCGAGGACGCCAATGGATAAAAGAACCGATAAATATTACGCCTACTAGTTCTACTTGGGCCGAAGTGGGGAGCTCCAGAGAGGTCGAGTCGACGAGTAAACAATATTTGGTAAAAAACTTATTATCTCCTTATAATAATAACTTTTACAACTATTCAGTTGCCTTATAACTAAAATAAAAAACAGTTTTAACCCCTTTTTGGTAATTACTTAAAGAAAGGGGCTATGCTGAGTGAGTGCGTCGTAATCTGAGTGCGATAAGACACAATCACCTAATATCCATATTTTATCTTCCACTTGTCTAAGTTTTGTTGACACAAATTCAGTCCCTTTTTAGCAGTTTTACGAACATGAACTGGAACTTGTTTACATTCACAACATAGAGGTGTTGGAAGAAATTTTGTTTTCGCTAATATTTGCCTTTAGAAGATGAGCTGGTTTCGATGGTTTAGACATCATCACACACTGTTCAAAACCGAATTTAGTTATTAACATTAATTCAAGAATTATTGACATTATAAAAATGGTAGAGAAGGGAATACAATTAAAAGGAGGAATGATGAATAAACATGATAAAATAAAACAACTTACATCTCTACCTTTATTCTCCCACTGTTTTTCGCTTTTCATTTGATGTTATTTTAATTTGTCTGTCTGTGGTATATTCATTAATATTCAGTAATTAAATAGTTTAATTCTAGTAATTTAACAAATGTGTCGTGATGTAGCTAATTAAATTATTAATTTGTTTCGTAGTTTTCTCTTCTCTACTTTTCATCGTTTTATATTTAATTAATATTAAGTACATTCGCATAAAATACATCAGGCTTCAAAATAAGCGAAAGGGTAAAGGTAAATGTCCTTGGTTGCCAAACTTTTGCTTCAGTGACCACCTTCATATTGTTGAAGTTTATATTGGTAAAACTATGAAGGAATATTTGAATTTTCTTACGTAAACTATCACCGACTCCAGTATCGGATTTAGTGAAATAATCTCAAACCTTCCTGCTCTTTATTTACACTAGCTAACACGGGTACACGTGATATCCAACGTAACCGTTTCATTAAAAAAAATATTAAAATGGAATAGAGGCGTAAAATGACAAGGAACTAAGCAGTTTCTGTCCGTGTGATAGGTGTCAGTGGTTTTCGATACCCAAGAAGGCGGAAATTGTGCAAAGAAACAGACATGAAAAGACATTGAAACAGTTTCGATAGTGACTGAGAAATATAAGTTTATTCGCTGTTTGTCCTACCTGATATTACGATTATATTTTCCCACTCAGTACGTCGCTGCTTCTGACAGCTGACGTCATACAACGAGGAAGAGAGGAACTTCAGTACTCATGTAAACTATTTGAAACAGAAATATAAACGTTTTATTTTTGTAAATTCTTCTATTAAACGTTTTATTGTAATTCTAAATAATTCTATAATATAGACTAAATTTAAAACTCAGGTTTTTATATTGAAGGTTAGCATAAATTTCACGCACGATTTTAATATAAAAAAACGTACAAAGTTTGTGAAATACACAAAATTTATGAATATATTTTTCGTAATATATCAAGATAAGAAAACATAATAAAGGAACGAAAAGGTACTCTTCAAGGGTGGCGTACTTTAAGCATTTTAACAGTATACCGTCCGTTAAAAATGATATCATTCCTTAGCCGACAGTGGACAACACTGACTTGCGGTCCGGCTGTGGTTGCGCTGCAGCCTTGTCAGCTAAGGTTTCGTTCCTCTGTGATAGACTGGATTACCTACGTACAATTATTTTTGAGGCTCATAAACTGTATATGCAAGTTGTTTAAATGTATTTGATATAAACAGTGTTCATAAAGTGACTAGTGAATCCAGAATCGACGGGTTTTGTTTCGACGGTTTCGTAGTACGCGACGGCTTCGTCCATCGCAACTACTTAATATGTCAATCGAAAACAACCCAGACGCTACTGACAAGCAAACAGAGCAGTTAATTCAACAGCATCAATAATTGTTCAAGCTTCAACAACAGCAATGACAACATTGTAAGCTGACTCAACATTTGCCGCAGTCGATGACATCTGGAATCCCCAACCCTCAACAGAGCGGTGAGTCCAAACCCGTTGACATGGACACCATTACCCAGCGTAAAGATAGCTCCTCTGATAACCAACAGCTACAGCGATTAAATAAAGTGCGTAAGGTTCTTTCAAATGTCTGAGTGGATAGCAAAAGACGCAAAATATTCCATTCTGAAGAAGCTGCGGTTCAGTACAACGCCCCAGTGTCTCCGCGGTATAACGCCCTAGAAAACTTAGATCACGAGCCCCCTGTGCGCGAAAGAAACGCGTTCACTGAACCAGATCCAAACATAATCAAAATTTCCCCAACTTTTCTGTAAGAAATTGACAAATATGAAAAAATGATCCAAAACATCAAAACTATCGCTCAAAATGATTTCTCTACTAAAAGTATTTAGGACTCAGAGGAAATGATTTTTAGTAACGTAGAGAACTTTAGAAATTATAGAAATGTTTGCGACGAAGAAAACATAGCCTGTTGCTCGATCAGGAACCCTCACAAAGCTGTCAAACCTTTGTCAATTAAAGATATTCCCACTTACTACTCTGTGCCATTGAGGTTGAACGTTTGCGTCTTAAATAGCTTTATTCATGCGTTTAACATTGTCTGAATTACGTATGTTATCTGTTTACATATTTTCAATAGCTTTTAATAAAATGTTTCATGTCAAAGTATGTACCTCTTTTCGTTGTACTCATCTTAATGGACAAAGCAAACAAACATGGCCAACTATAAAGCTTCGCTTGAACGTCACTGCCTATTAGCCGTTTGTTAGAATCATATAATAAGGGATTGAATTTCCTTGCAATTTTCGCGCCAGTACGATGTTCAATCGTACTCAACATCGGAGTAGGTTGACCATTGTCCGAAATGTATCTCTTTTCTACATTGTTAAGGCGAGAAAACGGTGTATGTAGTTCATTCATTGTATTTGCCGTAATATTAACGTAAAGTCAGATGTAAATATAAAAATCTAGTAATACTAATAATCCGCAGTAGAATAATTTTAAATGAAAAAAAAATACTTCCTAAATAATAATCACTTTCTCCACTGGTTAACTCGTCAACAAAACAGTAAACAGACGCGCTACGCGGCTTGCATGCGAGTGGAAATCTAGCCTTCCGTGCGGGCAGGCAGCTTGAGAATTCGCTGGCCTACGCTCAACGCGCATGCGTCACCTACGAACCCAGGATGCAACAGCTCTCCGCTCGCGGCATGGCCTTTGGTCAGAATGCGATGCGAAACGAGGCAGCGCGCGGCCTGCCTACCCTGAGAGGTGCAAGCAGACGCATGTCTGCGGGAGGGAACAGATCATACGGCGCGCGGGCTGGTAGGAAACGCTTGAAATGGAAATGTGGCTCGTGCCACGATAATGAAATGTTCATTGTACATATCCAGATGAACATCACTATCTAATTTCGTAATCACCCTATCAATATTGTAAGTCATTTAATTTTATTATGAAATATATTAAACTAGTACATATCCATGAAGGTAGTCAGTGCTTATCTTGTCAGCCCCAAAGATCTGCCACTGATTTACACATAAGTGGCGTCTGTTACCTTGACTACGCTTAAAGAAATTGCAACAATAAACTTTCTGACAATTTAAAGTTTCGAGAGAGATTATCATGGAGTTTTGAGATAGAGCTCGTTTAATGCTTGGCGAACATATGCAAATCAATGCAGGGCCAAGAAAATCTGTCAGATGTTATCCTGCCATTTTTTTTTAGAAAAGGGAAGCTAACAATATTAAACGGGAAGGAGTTTGCTCATAGAGAATAGTGGTATGGTTAGCATAAAAAACTCATAATTGTAGTTACTCTCATTGATCCATTAATTTATCAGCCCAAGATCTCTCTTCCTAATTCCTACATTTGGATTCCTTGACTAAAATATTTGGATCTTCAGCATGTGTGAAAAAAAAGGGTCTAGAAATGGATTACAGTAACTGTGTCTCAGGCAAGCACAAATTATAAGTTTCCGAAGAGGGGACTTTGGACTCTGGGGACGAGGCGACAGACAATGCAAGACCCTACCGGAGGCGTCTGGGTCAAAGGACTCTGGGATACAATCCAGTGCCGGATTCGCAGAGAAAGGAGGAAAGTCCCCACATATTTTCTTCTTCTGAATGAAATTCACAAATAAAAGATTTGGGTTGATGTTCAAGAGATTTTGTATATTTTTAGTTTAAAGCGATGAGAAAGTTTATGTTGATGAAGTAAAACGCACATTTAGGCGACACTAAAATGACGTAAGTAACGCTCTGGGGAGGAACTGTCAGCCATTCGTGAGCAGAGCGGCAGCAGAATAGTTTCTGAAAATCACAACGGGGGACGGCGGAACCCGATGTGAAAAAACCGAACCGATATATTTCTCTCTTACTTTAAGCGATGCAAATAATGCTAAATTCAGGTACTTTATTCAATTGACTTGTCGTTCCCTGACCAGAGGCAGGATTTAGGGGGGGTGGGGTGGACTAGAGGGGGCCACTGCTCTTCTCCCAATGGAACAAATTGTGACCTTTTATTTTGCCGATCTTCAAATTTATATTATAAAATATTTACTTTTTCTGTATTTTGAGAAGAAATATAATAATATTATTAATATTAATAATGATATTAATAATTAATTAACAATAATTTAGTTCAGAATTATAAAACGCTCGGGATAGTGTCCAGCTTTACAGTGAATATTCCGCATCGATAAATCATCTTTCAATTATCCTTTGATTTTAAATGTTATTTACTTAGAAATTAAATTATACACATATATTCAGCTGTGGATTTTTTCCTATTTGCTTATTTTTCCTTCAATGGAAAACGCAATCTGTTAGGTTACTTACTCATTTTGAGGCATTACGAGTAATATAGGCGAATATTATAGTTCCTGTAAATGCCATTTTTGTGTTTAAATGCCTAAAAGTTGCATATTCTTGTATTTCTTGATCAACAAGCCATTATTCTTAATTAAAAATTTAAAAAATTAGGCGCATTTTTCTTTTTTATTCTGCAGAGTATGGAGAAATCGAACAATCGATAAATCTATATTCCGTTTTACTGCTACCACAGTGCGGGTATTTCGTATGATGAAACACGTGCAAAATCGTTGGTGGTAGTCAAGTTAGTTTTACTTCCAATTTTTAAA